CCGCGCCTCATGTTGTGGCGCCCACACAGAGCATTCGCCGTGCAGGGTTGCTTGGGGGACTCATTGAACGCCAGGTACGAGTTGATGGTGACTGCGGTAAAGAGAAATGGTGCGATTCTCAGCCTTGAATTAAGCAAAACAGCAAAAGCAGTGAAATGTGATTCTAGTTCGTTCAATTAGTGAGAAGTACTAGCATATGAATTTTTCAAGGTAAATTTGTTGTAGACTTGAATGAATTCCAACAGCAGCCTTTGATAGACGAGCTGTTAGAAACCTTGGCCTGTAATTTGTTGGCGGAATCAAATGTACTCACTACGGTTTCAAGATTGCATTTTTGCAAGTTTGGGTGATAGATTGAAACTGGCCCCGTCAAGCGAGACGAGTGTCCAAGCTCCTGTCTGTACAGAATCCATTTTTTTTCTTCTAAAACTAAAATAACTTGTGCTGTGTACTTCAAGTTCGGACCTCCGGTCCATCCCAAATATGAATATTCCTTATTCAGGACAAGGTACATACCATACTTGTAGCTAATAATACCTAGCCAAGCACTTTGAAGCACTGCAAAGCTCAACTTTGGACTGGACTCGGGAACTAGTTTTTTCCAGACTTTTGAATAGAGAATCCAGACTTTATGACCTTCCAGGAAGATCGGAGTCAGTCCTCAGCGGATACTGCGAGGAAGATATGACGCCGGAAGGGAGGACAGAGGCTCTGCCTCCGCTGGTAGGTAGGCGACTGCGCATATCTGCCACGACCCGACCTCCGAGGTAGGTTGGTATGTAGGACCTAGCATATAGGTGGGGGCGGTATGTTCGTACGTATCAGATAAGTCCGAGGTCAGTTCCGCCTGTATCGTATACTGTACGTCGACCATTGGGTTTGATGACTCGTAGATCGCTTGATCGTTTGATGAGTCCTTGAAAGCTGATTCACAAAGTGAGGTCCGGAAGTCCGAGTCCGAGGAAGATTAGGAAGGTGGTCGGGCTGATTAGATTATGGGCCGTCAAGGGTCGGGGACAGTTGGAATAGTGTGTAAGACTCAAACATATATGCACGCATCCGTTCCTTCTTTCAGAGCATTGTATAGGGGCGTAGCAGGGCAGAATAGTTAGATAATGTGATCCTGCTTTCAAAGTACGTAGATGTTTCTTGTTTGACATCTCGGCGGTGAAAGGACTTCCATTGTTGCCCATAATTACACTGCTAGAGAGCTTACTTGGATGCGGCGCAGGTGCAGACCAAGATCCGGATTCCAAGAGAGCGCATATGACTTGATGTCTTTGGTCCCAATGAGTCACACAAGGGAGAAGGAGCATTGTAGCGTAAGGGCCGGGATGAATATTCAGTGTGTGCATCGTGACTCTAGTGGCTCCACGTAAATTATACAGCATCCTGACGTCTAACGCCCCAAGATCTTTACCCCGCATTCTTGGAAGAATCGAGAACAAGGCCAGCCCAAAAATACAAGACAATAAGGCCTCTGCATTGATGCGGTACCGAACCTTGATAATTTAGAGTCCGCTGTCTACTGGAGGTCAAAGCGAGGCCAGACGGAGACTACAGGGCAGGCACAAGGTGAAACATCGAGGACAGCGTGCCAGCAACGACAAATTGTCGTATTGGAGAGATAGTACGTCGCCTAGTCGATCTTACATACAGGAACGTGGCAAGTTATCTTGGTGGATTGTTAAGGAACAAGGATTTCCGGATATGGATCATAATGGAGAAGTAAAAGGAAGTTCTTGCGATGGATAGAGGGCTGGAATGGGACTTGAGATGAGGAAGGAGTGGACGAGATTGGGAGATTGTCGTCGAGATGCTGACATGAGTTTTTTCGGGGGTTTCAGGTTGGTTCCGAGAAAGCAGTGTCCCTCCGACACGACTCCCCTGACAACGCGTTTTATGAAATTACGTGACAACACACGGTGCTATAAAACAAGGCCTGTCTGCATGCTTCCTTCTCATTTTCCAACATGGACCAGCTGGACTACGAGCAACGCCAAAAACTACTCAAATCTACTCGAAAACTCCAGGCTCTGCTTGGAACAACCCCAGTCATCGAGTCTGATACTTCTTCCTACTCCAACAGACGAAATGCCAAATTTTCTCTTTCTCTCGCTCCTGCTTCAACAGCGACCCGTTCTCTTGTTCTTCGCCTCGGCTCTATTCCTTCCTCCTTAGCAGCTCCTCCACCACCTTCCCAACCACCTTCACCTCTTTCTCCCACCTTTTCCAACAACTCTATATCCCGCTCCGCTTCTGTCATGTCCAAAATCTCTACTCCTCCTGTCGACGTTCGTCGCAAAAAGATGGCCAAGCTCGCGCGCACGCTAGGCGAAAACATTCCACCAGAACTCGTCTTTCCCGAGAGTTCTTCTACTTCTATGCGTCCTACCAGACCACGCAGCTGTTCCATCGACTCTTTCATCCTCATTCAAGCTTCGTCACCAGCTCCCACTCCCGTGTCTTTTGATCACCTCGATCACGAAGACGAAGAGGAATTGGAGGAGAAATCTTCCGAGCATGACTTGAGCCAATATGCCTCTGTATTCGCTGCTTCATTTACTGGTTCAGAATCAGAGTTTAGCCCGCTCATCAAGCCTTTTGCTTCAAGGGAGCCTTCAGAGTCTTCGCATCATACTGTGCTTATGCCAGCTGTTCCCGAAAGCGAAGAGCCGTCGCCTACGTCGTCGTCGTCATCCGTGATCGCTAGAAAAACATCTGGTTTTCTAAGAAAGGCCCGACCTAGACTCGATCGTTCCGCTTCGACGCGTTCAGTGTCCAGGCCGAGGGCAAATACGCGTGCGATGCCAGGGAGGTCGGGTCAATCCATAGACCTCATCAAGTCGAGTTATGCCTCGTATACCTACGACTCGCCCTCGTACGAGCACACGTCGACGCATAGAAAAGGAAGGGAGTGGAGTGGACAGTGGAATGTGGACGACATGGAACAGGTCGTGAAAAACTTGCGCGAATTGAAGGCCAGATAAATAGCTTGTGCGCTTTTCCTCAGACTGAACTTGCAGTTATGGTTTCTTGGGCTTTTTTGGTGGCTTGCGTATTCCTGGGTTTCCTGCTGGCAGGTCGACGACGACGGACAATAATCAGTCTCCTCACTTTGCATTATCTGCATCTGTCGTCAATGACGCAGAGGCTAGATCCTTTTTGCACAAAAACAATATTCCTTGCATCGTTTTGTGTTGTACCTACTACTTCATCTGCATCTTTTCTTCATTTCGACATGTGTATCGATTTCATTTCATTCTTCTTGTGCATTGCTACCTACCTACTTTTCACCTAATTGTCATGACCCTTTCTTGCAATCACCACGATCATCATATCATGGACTCCATTCATTTCATTCCATTTCTCTCCATATCCTGGTCGTCATCTTAGATCTCTTTCCTTCGTGTAATTCTAATTCTTCCCCCAAACCGTGTACCTATTCAACCCCTACCTCCTACATACCACGACTTGACCCTTTTTGATCTCTACACACGGCCCTCTCTTCTCTTCTATCTCCGATCATGACGACCGACCACTACTACTTTTTGTTACGACGTACATACGAAATATGCATCCGAATTATGACTCTTTATAACATTAATCCTGTATTTCTTGCCAAGCGACACATTACCTCCCTGACTATCTGTATATCCGCTCGAAGCGCTACCTCCTTTACCTTACTCTACTATAATCGAAGATTAATTGATCGTGATACTCGAGTGCAGTGACTGATTGTAGACACGCCCAGGAATCGCTGAAACTCAAATCTCCGCCTGCGTCCGAAACTCGTGTGGATGTCATATAGACAAGTTCTTTCAAGTTGCCTTGTCCGTTTGAACTTTTTGCTGTTGTAGTGTACACAGGGAATCTCCGAATCCAACCTTGCACATGTTTTTTTAGAGTTCTTCCAACACGCCATCTAAACGCGATGTTGTATTGCATGTCTCAAAGATAGATCCAGGCATCTTTCCTTGTTCTTTCAAGTTCGAATTCGCACTAGAAACTCCGTGATTGTGGTGTTGTTGTTGCTGTTGTGGTGGTGCTGTTGTTCTTCTAGTTGTTTTTATCACCAAGTCAACGTTTTCACGTTCATTCGGGATGCTCTTTATGTCTTTATGAATCCATGGGATAGTGATGGTCTACTCACTGGAGATACGAAAAATAGGGGCTATCTGCTCTTTCGGATATATCGGCCGCGGGTATCCGAGGCTACATGTGACTCTGCGAGTTCCTGCACAACGAAACGATATTCTGTGGTAAGGCGCACTCCCCTGCCAAATTCGAACTCCGCGCATCGGTGGCTGTGAAGGTCAAAAAATGGCGAGTGCACTTCCTGACTCAACGGCAACTCAGATCCTTAAATGATATAGGAGAAAGTTCCTTGGATTTACATTTCATTTGTAGTTATCAATTCTGAATTTTAGTGCAGGAAGGATTTACAGTAGATATCCACTAAAGTAAGACATAAGAGTCCACGAATTTCCCAAACCAATTGATAACTACAAATAATTACTCTACCCCTCTCAATACCGAAGAAGTCCGAGGTGCATAGGTAGGCTCGTTGTTGAGATTAACGATGACCCCAGAAACGACAGGAAAGTGAGCGGATTTAATTACATAATCCACTGAGCGCGTCAAGACTCTTGACGAATTCGAAGAGACGGAGCGAGACAGAGTATTGCGACAGAAGTTGATTACATTACTGCGAAATTACTCATAGTAGACTAGCATAGACATATACCCTACATATTTAGCCCATAATACCATCCATAATTCCTTCGTGACTTATAAAAATCGACGTCGTACTTCTTTGACCTGAATTCGCCACTAGTGCACACCAAAAGTCTGCTTAGTCAGCCGACGCTCAAAAAACCGCGGCTGCGCCTTACCATATTCTGGTTCTGGCTAACAGCCTTGCTCTATGTAAAGAACTGTTCTGGTGGAACCTCGGAGAAATAACTTGTCTTGGAAACCTAAATCTGCATTTTGAACAAGCATTAATGGGGTAGTGGTAACCTGGGTCGTTGCCATCGAGTTTCTGCTCGACCCGCCGGGGGTTCGATTCCCCCTTAATGCATATCATGGTTTCTTCCCTTTTTTCCAGTGAATAATAGTCCTTTGGTGTAAAATATCGCTTTGAACTAGTATCAGAGCGGGACCGAATGTTGACGCAGGAATCAAGAAATGGTTCAGTGTTAACAATCTCCAGAATCGTGAAAAATGAACCCAGCGGTAACCATCGACTCCACAGTCCAGCAAACCGAGGGAGCCAGTCGATCAGAGCAGGAAGGTCTCAGAGACAAGGCGTGAGTCAGAATAACTCGCCTTCTTGCTTTGTTCCATTAAGACGGTTTACAAGATTGCCACCCGAGAGCTATACTTTTGTGCGATCACTCGGACATTCGATAAAGCTCGTGTGATGGAACTCCTACAGCAAGGACGAGGCTCCTCCTCCTCCTGATGTGCCGCAACACCAAATGCGTGCCGCGCACATCATTTCATTTTCGCTCAACGGATTCAACAGTAATGTCGACGATAGCAGCCCAGAAACTGTGCGTCGTGACTTTCTCTTTCTTTTCATCCTGCCCCATCCTTGAGACAGAGATGCCGCTCGCACCTGAGATATGCTTCAATCTTGGACGCAAATCGATGTAGGACCAAAGATCAACTCTCCTGCAAATGCTATCTACTATATAACAACTGAAGACCATTCTTCCTTTAGACGATTCCACTTCAAAGAAGCGGCCAGTCCCTTTTGTGATGATTCATTGCTCCCAAGGCTGATGCTCAGTAGGACCCGGCTGCTCCCAACAAGTACAAGGAAGCGGCCTCAGATTGAGTAACGGACAGACTTTGGCGGGTGTCGAGTTTCGAACATTGGCGGAATCAGATGCTGAGCCCCCCAGCCCTAAGTTTCTCAGAGTTCATACTGCCTTTGCAAAGGTTCTAAATCTCAGTGGTGTCGTTGACTACTTTGAGAGCATTGAAAAGAGTATTGAAAGGGATGTGGTTCTGCAGCTGAATGGGGAAACGGATTTTGCATCGTTCCTTATGTCTAGGTTGGCGATCATGGTGCATTAGTGTGCCATACTAGAGTCCATTATCTTAAGGGTTTTTTTTGCCGCTACTGCAGGCTACTGCCTGCATCTGTGTCAAATGACTAGCATTTTCATGTTTGGCGGTATATGTGCATACCTTAATCAAAAGCAATGGTACCTTGATATTTCAGTTTTTGCAGCTTTGCATTGACATGCGGTAATAATCAAGCCTTTCGGAATTCCGTCAGTACAGATATCGATAGGACAGTTCCGCGTTATGGCTATCTTTCAGAGAAAACCAGCCTCGTGTTGTGATAGGTACCCATTCAGGTTTCAGCTGTGGGTCAATGTTCAAGTTGGACATCTGATTCCCGCTGTACCAGCTCGGGAAGTTGTTAAGTGGCGCCACTTGGAAGGATACTCCTTCAATTCCGGGTCGGCGAATAAATATACAGCCCGAACGTCTACACGTAGGAGATGATATTGATACTTCTACCGTTCTACTCCGACTATGTCGCTGAATATTTACTGGCAAGACTCTGATAAGAAAGTTGCCAAATTTAAATCTTTCGTCAAATCATAAATGTAACGGAGGGCAGAGGTACATTCCGTTATCATGATCTCGTTATAGAGTATTCCGAGTCCTTGAGACAAGTCGTAAACGTGTAAACTAGAATTGCGCTATCTATTTGATTCCCAAGTCTCTGAGCAGTACTATGCTTATCATGCTGGTGAAATTGCTTTACCTGGTACAGTGGTGTCATTGAAGAGAGTATGTAATAATGTATCCGTGAGAAATTTTCTGAGGGCGCGTCAACAGCCGCAGCGTGCTTTAGGGACAAAGACGCGTACGACTCTCAAACGACCGGCTACTTGTACCATCGCTTGCCTCTTTTCTAACTACTACACCATGTCCGACACGTCATACTCGCCTGACCCAGAACCCTCCACCAGTCGGAAACGTAAATCAGGAGGCGCATCATCGGGGTCCGCGTCCAAGAAAGCCAAAGGAAAAAAATCTCCTCCCGATCCATTCGCGACTGCCAAAGAATACGTCAAAGCCGTCCACGCGTCTCCCGAGAGCTTTGAGCTCCCGGAAGAAGATGGAGATGTTAGAGCTATGATAGCGACCATTGTTGCGTACACAAAGAGCCTTGAAGGCTCTGTTGCGGTCGCTACTCAAACTGGTCGGAACGCTCCGACGCTCAAGACGGCTGCGGATATTGAAGCAGATGCGGATAGAGTCAAGAACCTTATCAACCGAGGGATTGTTAAACTGATGAGTGTGAGTGGTCTTTGTTCTGTACAAGGACTGTTTTTATTTTTAAAAATCCTGTTTGCTTTGGTACTGAAACTTCGACCTTGTTTACCTAGTGGAAGCCAACTGCTAATGACGGCCGAGCCAAATTCTCGTTTGACGGACTGTGCGCTGATCCACGCGTTTTCGGGTCGATATTTGGGTTCGATGGACCGCCCACTTGGTCTATGAAAAAGTTCACCTATGAAGAATTTGAGAATTACGTTGGATATGTTCAAGGATCCGTCCGGTGAGTCACTAGTCAACTATGAGCCAAAATGAGACAAAGACGACTTATAAATATTCAGGTACTCTGACCTCTACATCACGAGCGACGTGAACGTACGATACGATTCTGGAACTGGGGAATTCAAAGTAAGCGGATCTTATGGAAAGCCGGGAACAGGAAAACGCAAGCACTGAACGTTAACTGACGCTCTTAAATCGACATGTGGTTCCATTTGATACCCTTGTACTGCAGTAAATTGTTATGCACTCGAAAGATACATAGTTCAAAGTTGCATTGTAATACTATTTCATCAGACCTTTTTATTCCCATTTGCTCATCCGATTTCATCACGCATTGCAACGACAACTCCAAGAATCTGATTCTTAGCAGAAGGAACTCATCATGGAACTACAGGGTCAGGATACGATCGATCCCACAGACCAATTGCTACCTTGACAAGACAGCGTCACTGAGATCCGGATTTTTTTAGAGCGATCCTTGTTTCAATGAAGATACTTGTCATTGTGCATACATCGCCTTGCAGGATTTCGAAGATTTCAAAGGGATCTTAAGGTACTTACCGCTTCAAGTTGATAATCACTTTGCTGCCAGAAAGTTAGCCCAGCGTCTATGATAGATAGGCGCTGTCATGCTCATCAGAAAATAGACGCTGGACTTGACTTGGGCTCTCAGAACACGGGCGTTAAACATTAAAACGCCCACAAGCGCCCGGTGGTGGCTCCGTTTGTGTGAAAACGAGGCAAGGTTACACCGGGAACCTGTGAACGGCGGAGACAGAACAGATGCAAGCATGTAGATTTCGTTCTAAAGATATGCGATATGCAGTTAGATAAATACACGTGTAGTTGGATACAATGTAGTGACTATACAATTGTCCTGTTGGAGGAGCCTTGCTAAGATGGCTTGTAGTTGGGTACAATAAAGGGTGATCAGTATACAAAATCCTGTTGGAGGAATCTAGAAAGAATGGGGGTATGGTCAATTAATCTGATGCCTAATGGGCCACCGCAACCTCTGCGGCTTTCAGTGCGATTTGGAAGGACGCCAGCAGGGTTTCAGTATCTTCTATACCCACACTAATCCTAACGAGATCAGCTTCTACGCCGTATTGAGCAGCCCAGTCCAGCTCGGTGAAATGTGCCAAAATTGCATAAGGACTGGCCAACGTAAAGTTAGTTCCGAGACTGGGGCCCTTGTGACAAGACAAAGCGTCGTAGAACGCATGGGATGCCGCTGGTGAAGTAAAGGTGACCGAAAACAGTCCACCAAAGCCTCCATTTTCACCAGAAGACGGGTCACCCTTGATCCTGCAACGCTCGTAGTGTTCCGGTGTGCTGTACTTGGGGTAGTAGACATTTTTGACAACGCCGTTTGATGAGCCACCAGCGGCCGAGTGGGAGCGCAAGAACTCGCAAACAGCCTCAGCATTGGCGTCTATAATTCTAACTCTTCTACGGAAGTCGCGAGAATTACGTTCCATAAAGATGGCGTCTTGATCAAAGTAATTGTCCTCGTAATTGTTGTCGAGGTAAGCTTTCAGGGCAGAGTAATGTTTACCCTGAGGATTGAGAACGAGGCTAGAGTAAATTTATGTTAGATAACGGCAAGCACACAAAAGTATATTCACAAACCTTCCACCCATGACATTAGAAGCACCGCTGAATACCTTGGTCAAGCTACTGACGACAATGTCTGCGAATGGAAGGACTTCGACATTTGTAAAATTTCCAATGGTTTCGTCCACAACCAACAGAAAGCCGTATTTGTCTGCCAGCCCTCTAAGCCGCGGCAAATCCGCGGAACGTAAAAGTGGATTAGAGGGGAACTCCGTGAAGAGTGCCAACAGAGGGGGACGCGAAGCATCACGTCTGATTTCTTCCTGGATGATCTTCTCGAGCTCGTCGATATCGCTATCAAGTCCGTGTCCGAGGAAGTGACAACCAGGACCCCATTTCTGCAATATCTTCAGCGTGTCTGTGTAGGGGAACCTACAGTGCATTAGTAACTTGAACAAAAACGTAACACCATGAATACATACCCAAAACAAACACTCTTCGCCAAAGGAAGAACAGACATTGCAAGTTGGTGGGCATTGAATATAGCGTTCATGCCGCACGGGTACAGATACACGTCGTCTTCAGAAACGCCAACACCTCGTCGACTAGGTCCAATTTCCAAATTATGATCACCAGCAGACAACTCATCAGAGTGCTCATCTCGAACAAGTACGCCGGCTATTCTGCGACGCAAAGCTTTTTTCGCAGATGAAGCGGCCGCTTGAGGGAGGTTTCTGCCGTATCGTTCTTCAAGGTAGAAACTTTGATCACTGCTCAAGTTCTCGGGAGCATCTGCAGGTTGCAGAGGAGGCGAGGAAAACCTTTCCTTCGTGGAATAGTGTTTGTTTGAGGCTTTGCCAGAATACCGTTGAGTCAAAGCAGGTGTAGAGGGAGGCGAACTTTCTGGCAACAGTGAAAGGCAATGTTCTGCCAAAC